TAATTCTTTGCACCTTTTTTCCCCTTTCTTTCAAGTAGATTCTTCCTTCTTCCTTTCTACTAGTTCTTAGTTTGTAAAGTGTCTTTTTCTGTGTGCCCTTTTCCAGAGAGCATCTCTCACTTTCTTCATTGTCCACCTTTTCTTTTTCTATTCTGTCTACTCTAGACCCTCATTCTCTCCATTGTGCTTCCATGAGTATCTAGCCTCTATTCTCTATATTCCTTATGGAATTATTACTTCCAAGGTATCTATTCTGGATTTCTCCCTCTTGGCAGTTTCTGCAACAGTTGTAGAGCTGGTGTCTTTGGATCCTCCTTTTTTCATTGTGAGTCACTCCAGAACAAAACCAATCCATGCAGGGGACAGAGAAAATATTGCTCCCTGGTAGGACCCCTCCTATGGTAGGGCCCTCATACATCCCTGCTCATGCAGTTCAACACAGAACTATACTCACTTTCTGACTTAGCCTTGTCTCATGTTATATTCTAGTTGCTATTGCTAGTGTTGTTTATGTTTTTCAATATAAGGATGGCTGCTTTCCTACCTCTGAAAGGCCAGAATCATACCTTCTTGCCTTTTCTCTCATTTTCCAATATGGCTTATACAAGACTCCATACTAAGGAATACCTAGTGTGGTCTTGTGCACATTGGTAGGATTATAATGTTATTTTTTTTCTGACTCCTGTTCCCCATATCATGAAGCTGAGAACAAATTCTGCTTTTAGTGTTCCCTTTAATATAAACTTCCACAAATAGCTCACTAAAGCAAAAGTCAATAAGTTATCATGTGTTCATTAAGTACTTAATAAATGCTAGGTCCTATGCTAAGCTGTGGGATATTAAAGGTAGAATTCATTCTTTTACTGCCTGCCTTTTCTTCAGGATATATGTGTGGTTTCAGTAAAGAAAAGGGGCAGGTAGTCTTTGAAAAGCAGTGCTGCAAAGTGATATTCCCCTTTCTTCTGCCCTGATGGCGAAATAAGTGCACTAATGACAGACTGACTTATTCCATTGTGTGTAGTGGAGATTGGGAAAAGATGAAAGGGCAGCCAGGAGTTGTGTTGGATGGCCAGTGGCAGTTTTACAAGTGCAGAGTAACAGCTGTGACAGCCAACAGTCAATCATCATTTCCCTTGGAAATTTTAAACCTTTGTTCCTACACAGGAATTTCATTATTTTCCTATCTCCACACAGATATTTTTGGGTATTCTGATTGGTACGGCACTGAAAAAAGTAACAGCAGGTAATAATGTCATCTTTATCATACTGGCCCAGGCTATCCATGAACAACTGATGTTTCTCTAATTTAGATTTATCTTTTTGTCAAATGCTTTCCCTCCAGAATCTACTGATATAATTATGATTTATTGTTCCCATTATTAATATGATTTCTTGTTTGTAGTTTTGCTAATATTGCACCCTGCATTTGTGGTATAAATCCAACCGGATCATAGGGTATAATGTTTTTGAAATGTTGCTATAGCATGTTTATTAACATTTTATTTTAAAATTGTGTCATTATTCATCAGGGGTATGATCTATAGTTTTCTTTTTTTGTTTTGATTTTCCCTGGTTGATGGATTAATATTTGTAACACAGAAGGAATTTAGTAGGATTTCTTCTTTCCCTATGTTTGCAGACAGATTATGTAGTTGGAATTTTTCTTTGAAATTTGACCAAATTGCTTATAAATCCATCTGGTACCAGGTCTCCCTTAGAGAAGATCTCCCTTATCCACTTTGGAAATTTATTTACTATGGCTTGTTCGAGGTTTTTTTTTTTTGGGGGGGGGGACTGGGTTACTTATATTTCTTATTTCTTGTTTTGTTAACCTGGGAATTTGATGTTTTTATAAAGATTCATCCATTTCATTTAAGTTGTCATTTCATTGGCACATAGAGTTACGCAAAATATTTTAATTTTATCTGTTGTAAATTCTTCCCACTTCATTTTTGATACTAGTAATTTTTCTTCTTTATAATATCTATTTCTTTGTCTAGCCCCTAAAAACAAGCTCCTAATTTTATTGATTCAAGTTTTTTGCTTTCAATTTCATTAATTTCCCATTTGATTTTCAGAATTTCTATTTTCATGGTTTTAAATTTGTTGGTTTTCTAGTATTTTTAGTTAATATGCCTAATTCATTGATCTGTTCTCTTTTGTTGATAAAAAGCATTTTTATTTTTAATATGAACTTAAAAACCACAAAAAAGGCTTTCTATACACAAAGCAGAACACAAAATCAGGGTTTTCTATGAAACTGTGAAATTCATTTTCACACTTCTTTTGCAAAAGTATATAATGCTATTCTTAAAGCATCCTGCTTGTATATATTTCCATCTAAACTTTGTTTTCTTCTGAGTATTAAAAAAAAGTTTTAATGTCTTTTCTTGGCATAACTATTGCTAAAAATGTCCTCTCCCCTCTGCCACCCCCATTAAAAATTGAGAAAAAGAAAGGTGCAACCCTACCCCCCTCTGCCAAGAACACCCTTGTAAAAAATAAGCAATCAAGCAAAACTGATCCACACAATGGCAATGTCCAAACATGTCTCTTTTTGTACATTCTATCTATCACTTGTCAGGAGGTGGGTAAAACATTTTATCATAGGACCTTTGAACATATGGATGGTTATTACATTGATTAGTGTTAAGTCAAGAGGCAGCTAGGTGGCACAGTACAGTGTAGCACAGGCATGCAGGGCTTGGACTCAGGAAAAGTCATCTTCATGAGTTCAAATCTGGACTCAGGTACTACCTGTGTGACCCTGGGTAAGTCACTTAACCCTGTTTGGCTCCGTTTCCTCACCTGTAAAATTAGGTGGAGAAGGAAACAGCAAACCACTCTAGTATCTTTGCCACCAAAACTCCAAATGGGGTCACAAAGAATTGTTCATGACTAAAACTGACTGAACAATAACTGTCCTTTATTTTCCTTCTGCTCACCTCGTTCTCATTCAGTTCTCTTAAATAATGTACTATTTACATCCAAATACTAATATTTATTCAGTCACAACTTATCCAAAATGCAATTTGTGGTACTCTCTTAAATTCTAGTTCTTTTCTTTCCCTTTTTACTCCTTCTTTTAGAAAAAGGAAGTCTGATTTACTTGTAGCTGTATCTTCTTTTTAGCACAACTTTTAACTCATCTCACTGAATTTCTCCCTATTTTGAGTTTGAAGTATTTTTTCACAACACTGTGTCAGTGTGTATATAACCCTCCTTTTTCCATTTCAGATGCCTTCCTCCTTGTTTGTGTAGTCTTTTACTTTTACATCTAAATGAACTTAAAATCATGCCTATCCTCCAACTTATTTAACCACTTCTCTAAATCATCATGATACTAAAGTTCTGAGGGGACTCATGTATCTCCTCCAATTATGACGTTAACATTTCATATTTGTATATTACCTTTTGATTGCTCACTAGTATTGACTTTGTTTCTCTTGTTCTTTTGTGTTTATTTTCAAAGTTTTAACGTAGCTTTGGTTTCTTTCTTTTCCCACTTGGAATCCTAGATGTCCTCTTTTTCACTAAAGGTTCAAATTACCCCCTCTAAAATTACACTGAATTTTCTTGGGGTAAGTTGTTCTTGGTAATAAACCTATCATCTTGCCTTTTGAAGTATCTTCTTTATTACAAGCTCTCCACTTTTACCTAGTGGTAACTGCTAAATCTTGTGTGTTCTCCCTCATGGCTCTTTGGTACCTGAATTCTTTCTTTCTACCAATGTTTTTAACTCCTATAGACTAATGCTGTCAGCTAGTTGAAAGGGTCTCTCCCCTTGGTCCTTGCTTCATTTACAGGTCTCGGTGACCAGGATGTGAGCTCAATCTGTGGCCCCATTCCAGTATCAATAAAACGTTGCTTTCCTCTGTTCCTTCTCCTTGCCTTGAGTTATAGTTAGGCCAAGTTTAAGCTGGAACCATCCCTGCTCCCTGCCCTCCTATGGGGCTACAGACTGACTCATTCCAAGTTGGTTCTAATGACCCAGCTCTGGGGTCACAGCAACAAAGCCGCAGGTTAGCTTACATTTCTGTTTCTTACAAGTTATACTAGGTTAGGGCCAGTCGGTGCTGGATCTGCAATTGCAGGTCAATCCCCTGCCTAGCCAAAGGTTCCTTCCTTTATTCCCACTGGACCTGTAGCCCAACTCTGGGGTCAGGGTGATTCAGTTGTTAGTTGGCTCCTGTTCCTGCTCATTTGACTGAAAAAAACCCAACAACCTTTTTTTCCCTTGGAGTTCTTTGATGATAACTCATTCTGGTGCTCTTCCTAGACCTATGTTCAAATAACTGTTGGGGAGTATCAGGCTATACTGCTTCCTCATATTTTGATATCTTGGTTGACATCAGTTTGATTAACATTATAGACCTACTAAATGCAAGACACTGAATATACATACATACATATATATGTGTATATATGTATAGATATATATGTGATACATATGTGAAAATTTTACACGATCCCTGTCCTTAAACTCCCTTCCCCATCTACCTCCTCCTTTCAACACAAGGTTTACCATTCTCCCCACTTTTCTTATTTCCCCTCTCCATAACTGTTTCCTCGTTTCTTCGACCTTTGTATTCTAGTAGAAACAGATTGCCCTGACCATTAACATTTCTCCATTTTGTGTGTGCTCCCCTTCCATTCACGCTCTATTTTGACCTTCAATAACTCACCACAATACAAATCAATGTCTTACACAACTGTTTTCTCTCATTTACTATAGTGTCTCTGTTAGCAGAAGTTTTTATTTTTATGTAGGAATCAGCCAAGTGGTACAGTGGATAAGAGGGCTGGGTCTGGAGTCTGACTTCAATTCTGGTCACAAAGACTTACTAGCTCTGTGACTCTGAGAAAAGTCATTCAATAGCCATTTGCCTCAGTTTCCTCATCTGTAAAATGGGGAGAATAATAGCACCTACCTCCCAGGGTTTTTGTAAAGATCAAATAAGATAACTGTCAAGCACTTAGCACATGGCCAGGCACACAGTAAGTGTAATAACATATAATACATTTTGGCTATTATTATTATTATTATTATTATTATTATTGTCTGCTTGTCAGTAGACAGAGTACTGGAAGAACCTAAGTCCCTTATGAAAATGAATCCTTTTGAAAATATTGAGTTATGCAAGTGTTTTTGAAATTACCCCCTTTCTTAGAAACAACCCACTATAACTGGGGGCTTTTTGGAATATCTATACCCCAAATAGAAACACCCTCCTTAAAACCTAAAGCTTTGGCACTAAACATAAGTAATGTAACTACTCTGTCCTTTTTTCTGCTCATCTTACTTTCTCTTCCTTCTCAGAAAGCAGTTGCTTTCATAGGTTATCTTCAGACCTTCTCCCAAAGCTTCTCTCTCTTTACCCTACCTGATATCAAAAAGAACTTTTTCTTCTCCTCTACTAGAAAGCTTTTGGACACATTGACCTCATGTCTGAAATCATATCAGATACTACTTGCCTCTTTCCCCTACCTGAAAGCCCCTGGAATCACTCTAGCCTGTCCCCCTCCTTGCTTCCCCACCAGAACAGGTATAGCTGCCTCCAAAGGTCTTCCTGTCTTTCAGGCAGCCATCATGGCCAGATTCAATAACTAGAGTTAGGTAGAAACTATGGTGATTAGTTGGAAACCAATAGCCTTGCACCCCTTATAGGGGCAGTACTATCTTTTTGTTCCATTTTTTTGGTGCTATGGGGCAATGTTCAGAGTAAACTTACTGCAACATAGAAATGAAAAGAAAAAAGACTTGCCCCTCTGTTCACTTAGTAGTATTGATAAAAATCCTCAAAATCAGGTGGACAAAGCAGAGACTTGAGAAATCCGATCAACTGACTTGTCATTGACAGAGAGGTTAAGGTACAAGGATAAGGTTCCCTCCAGTCTCAATCACAGTGAACAAAGGATTCAGAGGCCCTCTTCTCTTTTGCCCCTGGCAATCTCATTCACTCCTATAGCTATAAACTACCTTTATACAGATGACTCCAAAATACGAATCTCCAATCCTGACCTCTCTTCCAAGCTCCAGACCTCTATATTTCCAGCTGCCTACAGAACTCCTCTACCTGGATATACCAATAACAATTCATACTCAACATTTCTAAACCTGAACTTATTTTCCCTTCCTTATCACTTCATTATTTCCATTGATATCTTTCTCATGGTTGCTAACAAGGTCTTCTTCTTCTCTTCCCTCTTCAACTCATAGCCAATAAGTTTCCAGTTCCTGTAGTTTCTATTGCCACGTATGCATGTGTGCATGTGCGCATTTGATTCTCCTCTGTTCCCACTGCCATTCCACAGGTCCTTATTACCACCTGCTTGTAACCAGCAGGAATCATAGAGTACAGATGGAAAGCTCCACAAAGGCCAAGGCCACACCTTATCTAAACTTTATTATCTCCCAGATACTTAGCACAATGCTCTTAAATGGTTGAAATGACCAGAGAAGGAAGCAGAAATTCAAAGTAGTTGGAGATGTTCAGGAGTTTAAATACTCCCTGCTTTGACTACCTTTGTTTACTTGCTCTAGCCTATAGCCAATTCTAACAGGAATACTAAAGTTGCTGCAAAGAAAAAGCAGATAAAAACTGAATAGAAAAAGATTTTGAATCAGTTACTTTCAGTTATCTGTGCCATTATACCCTTCTCCTCCTCATTAATGTAAATAGTAACTACCTTAATATAAACATTTCACAATGGCTAGACAACATTGTAAACATTGTCTTGGATAAAATTACTAGTCATATGACTATAATTTCATAGGAAACAATACTGTAATTGCATTATAATCATTCCATCTGATATTGATATACTGCCGCCCCCCCTCCCCCAATCCAGTAAAATGTAATGTCCTTGAAGACAGGGATGTTTGCTTTTGTCTTTTTATCCTGGGTTTAGCACAATGCCTTTCATATATTAGGTGTTTAATTCTTGCTGAATTGAATTTTCAGGATGACAAAAGAAACATCAAAATGATACTGTTACTGAGACCAAATTATTTTAGTTTCGCCTTTGACCTCTCACAGCTCTCTTGGATTCCTGCCACTGCTTTTGCCTACTGGTCATATTTCTTTTATTCCCGTCACTGTCTCAGGTTAGACTCCTGATGTTCGCTGCTGCCTTACTCTATTACACAACACAGGTGGCCACCACTTTTGCCAGCTGTCTTTTTCAATTTTGACTTCTTTCCTCAGTATCCAAAGAAAATTTTTACATGAAAAGGTCAAGCCTATTTGTGTATAAAATATAATTAGAATAAAGTTTCAAGTATTATGCAATTAAATATGATAATACCAGTGATAACTACTAGTATTATAGGAACTAAAACAATTTCAAAGCACTTGCCATTGACTATGAGATTATTCTCACAACATTCCTGTGAATAGTGCTGGGATTGACTTCCACATTTTAAAGAAGGAGAAACCGAGGCACAGAGCATGACTTAGGTAAAGTCACACATTGACTTACCACTGGAGTCAAGAATGGAAGGAATTTGGAAGAGAAGGTTGAATGATGAAGGAATATTAGTGTCCATAGCTATTCATTCCAGAAAATATTATGAGGCGAACAGCGTTCTCTAAAATAGATTTAAGGACAATGTTGGCCTTTTTAAAACATCATTTTCCCTAGTCCTCATCTCTCATCCTCTCCTCCCCCCACCAATTGGCCTGACAAATTAAAACAAATAAAAATATTCAGTTGGATTCTCTTATTCCAGATAAGTTTTCAATGGTTACTGATCTTTTCTCATATAGGACAGTCATAAAATCTCTGTCTTGTTTTGATCTTATATGTCTATTTTGAGCTACTAATGAAGGTTTTTATGATTTCCATCAATAGAACTTGTTTGTATGGATTCTCTGATGTCGAATAAGAGCTGAACTCACACGGAAGGGTCTCCCACACTCATCACATTCATAGGGTTTCTCTCCAGTGTGGATTCTCTGATGTTGAACAAGGCCTGTTCGACCACTGAAATCTTTCCCACATTCTTTGCATTTATAGGGCTTCACTCCAGTGTGGACTCTCTGATGTCCAATGAGATGTGAGCGCTGAATAAAGGCTTTTCCACACTCATCACATTTATAGGGCTTCTCCCCTGTATGGGTTCTCTTATGTTTACTAAGGTCTGAGCTATGACTGAAACCTTTCCCACATTCATCACATTTGTGTCGTCTTTTCCCTGCAAGGTTTTCCTGTTGCCATTCTAATCTGTCCTCAGGTTCAAAGGCTTCTCTGAATACAGGATCCCAGGAAATGTGCCCACTGAGTCTGCCATATATATCCCCTAGTGATTCAATGTCTTCAGAAATTTCTTCCTTCTGAATTGACCCCACATCTTCAGTTCTGGTTTCATCATCTGAAATAATAAATAGATTTTACAAATGTCTCCTCTTCTTTACAGTAACAGAAAGTAATTTATACGAAGGGCTCACAATGAACCAAATAAAATATATCTGAAGAATGCACAGTTTGTATGAGGTATGTCTATAAAATGAGACTGATTTCACAAGTCATAAATGAAAATCAGAATTTAGAGTCATGTACACACACAAACACACACCCCATACATACAACCTAACACAGATCAGGAACTTAATAAACATTTGTTGAATGAATGTATGGATATGTACTTAAAAATTATCATACAATATACTGTAGAGGGAGGGAGGGAGAGAGGGTTAAGCAGGAATCCAACAGTGGAAATGTGGGACAAAAGGTCAGGATAGATTGGACATAGGGTAAATAGATAGATAGAAAGTGTGTATAGTTTATGTATTAAGTTGGGAATACATCTAAGACATGGGTAAGAGCTGAGTATGGAAAACGAGGAAATTGGAATGAGAAAATTGGGAGATAAAAGAAGTTGGGGGTTATAGTACAGATAGCACTATACCAAAGGCGTCTATATTGTAAAAAGCAAAAAGGAGAGAATTAGAGAAGGTTACTGGGAATAGAGAAGAACGTAACATATAGGGACCAGAAATGGAGTAGGAAGGCTAAGATACTGGTAAAACTTCCTAGGAAGGTAAGAAAGAACATGTTAGGGTCAATAGTGGAAGTATGGAGTGTGGTGGGTAGGCAGGAGCACGAAATCAAATACATCTGAAATAAATCTGAAAGAGAAAGCTACTTAGTCTTTTAGGGGCTTAGGATTACCCTCAACCCAGATACATGATGGCTGTCATCATAGTAGATCTAGGTAGGCCTGATGCAGTTCAGTATGAAGACCCACAGAATATATCATCTCTATGTAGCAGACTCTCAGATCTGTTTATCCAGCCTTATGCAGGAGACAAAATAGACAATTCTGATCATGTAAAATTAAAATTTTTGCAGATGCAAAAACAATCTAACTAAAATTAGAAGCAGGGAACTAGGGAAAAAAATCTTTTTTTAGAAAGTTTCTCTCATAAAAGTCTCCTTTCCAAGACACAGAAGGAATTCATTAAAATTCATAAGAATAAGAGTCATGTTTAAATTGATAAATCCTCAAAGGATATAACTAGTCAGATTTGAAGGAAGAAATCCAAGCTATCAATTATCATATGACAAAATTTCAAGGGACTCTGAGGAAACAAGAATATTAATGCTGTGCTGGTACAACTGTGAACTGGTCCCACCATTCTAGAAAGCAATTTGGAACTATGCCTAAAAAGTTACTGCCGGTATATATACTTTGACTCAAAGGATATGATTCTAGGCCTATAACCACAAAGAACCTAAAAAGAGGCAAAGGACACATATCCAGTAGGAATGGGTTAACAGTGTCAAAAGCTGCAGAGAAGTCAAGAAGGATGAGTATTTAAAAAAAAAAAAGCCAATGCATCCAGCAGTTAAGTGATCATGGGCAATCTTGAACATTTTCAGTTAAGTAGTGGGGTATGAAGCCATACTTCAAGGCATTAGAAAAGAATGGGAGATATAAGCCACTAGCTAGCAGGACTAGATAAAGTGGTTTTTTTTTTGAGGATGAGGGAAACATGGGAATGTTTATAAGTAGTAGGGAAACAGCCAGGAGACAGGGAGTGACTGAAGATTTGTGAGTTGGGATGGTAGAAGGGGCAATCTGTTGAAGACAGGATGTTAGGGGATTACTTGTGCAGGTAGAGAGTCACCTCTTCATGTAAAATAGGGAGAAGATAGTGACAAAAAGCATCTAAGCTGTATTTTGAATAACGTGAGAGGAGGAACAGGGAAGAAGAGGAAACTCTGCAAATGGCCTCCATTTTTTTCAATGACATATGAGGCAAGTTTCTCAGTTAAGAGGGTTGGGGGAAGGTTTGAGGAGGAACAAAAAAAGATTTGTAAAAGGTGGATAGTAAATTGATTCGGGAGGTGTAAAAGGACTGTCTTCCCACAGTGAAGTCTCAGTTCAGATTATGAAACAAATTTATAGTGGACTCAGTAAGCATAGTTCAAAGATTTTATTGGAGCTCTGTTAGCTGCATGTACTCATTCTCCTTTGCTCACAGGAGCAAAGGGACATGAGAAAAGGACAATGTTGAGTGGGACCGCTTCACAAAGGCATCCAGATGGAGAAGAGAAGACAGCTAATGCAGAGGTGATGGCCTAGGAAAGAGTTGATGGGTGGAGGGATGGGTGAACGAAGTCTGAACTGCAAGACAGAGGAAGAAGTGGAATGACAGATAGTGATCAGATGAAGGAACTACATAAACATGAATATGGAACACTATGGTTTATGACAAGATCAAGGGTATAACCGTCTCTCTATGTAGCTGTGGTGGCAGGGAGGAGTAGGTCATGGACAAATGATTAAGTTGAAGAACTGGGAAATTAAGGTATTTCGGGGAGTATCATTTGCATGTTGAAGTCGCCTAGCATGAGGGCAGGAAGTTGGGGGAAGAGAGTTTGAGAGACAGGCATTGAACTCATTAAGGAAGTGAGTGAGTATCTTAGACATCTATAGAAAACAAGCTACCCGAATTTTGATTAGGTGATAAATATAGATTGAATGAACCTCTAAGGAAGAGAGGTGAGTGATGGCGATAGAGAAAGAGACTCTGGAAGGGGCAATGGGGAACAAGGAGTAATTCAATTCCTCCATCACAGGGAAGTATGAGTACAACTACACCCAGTTCTGGAAAGAGTAGCTAGGTAAGGTGTGTCACCAGGAGGGAGCTAGGTCTCTGAGTATAAGATGGAAGAAGCAAAAAAGGAAAAGTTTTAGGTAAAATCTAGTTTGTTACCTATGGAGCACAGTATAATGGTTGAGTAGTTTTGGTGGGAGGGTTGGGTTCAGGGGGTATGAGAATAAGGAAGCAGTCCATTGGGGTGGAGAACAAGATCTGAACAATGGTAACCAAGGGTTCAGAATCACTGAGAAAGAGTGCATATCAAGGGATGGAAGTATGCTATTCATTGAGGAATTGGTTCAGCCAGACTATCATTGTCCACAAGTGTTTGGCTTCAGGTAGAATTGTCCCAGGGCATCAGAAACAACTGTGTGTGGCTAGAAAGGAAGATGGGAAGCAGAAAGTTACACGAAGGGTACCTGGGTAGAAGCAGGGAAATCCCTGTGGAGCTGTAGGTGGCCAGAGACGGTGGGCTTGGAGCTTGATGGAATAGCACAGGCAAGCTAAGCCCAGTGGAGGAGTGGCATTTCCTATCACTGGAGAAATTTTCAGCGAGGCTAAATGAATATCTGTCTGGTATGTTACTTAATTTGGAACAAATGCTGCTAAGATACCTTCCAACTCTAAAATCTATAGTTTTGAGTGGGGATCCTGAATGGTCAGGAGTCATGTTGAGGATGCTGGGCACATGGGAAATGGTAGGGGGTATGAAATGAGGGAAGAAAGAGAACTAATTTAAATTTTCTGTTTATTATATCTAACTTAAAGAGGCTCTAGCATTCAAATTAGTGGTTTTTGATAGACAGGGCTATAGAAAAAGGTTACAGAGGTCTTCTATACTAATTGGAGCTGTCAGCCTAACACATCACTCCCCTCTCAAAAAAAATCTACTTTCTTATAAGCAAAATTTAAGGGAATAAGAACTGTATGTTTTTATACTTAGAGAAATTATATAAAAGTATAAGGAGTACTCAATCCATTTTTGTTTGCCCCAAGGACAAGTGGTCCTATTTATTTGGATGAGAGCTCTTAATCCTCATGGAGTAGTGAAATGTAATTCTATGATTTCTAGAAATAGAACTCTCACCTCCAACTTTTAAAGGACAGGAAGAAGCAGGACACATATAAACATAAAAAACATTAAAAAATAACACTTTTAACAAGCACAAAGACTTCTTCTAATGAATTCTTGATGAACTAATGCTTTTCACATCTCCCATTTCTGCCTCCCCATCATCTTGCAGATAGTAAGTAGCAGAAGGTAAAGCCTTCTATAGTGACAGAAAAGAGAGGCAATCAGAGGAAACTTTAGCTATTTGTTAAAATGACATGCACCTGTTTTTGGGGGGGGGGTTGTGAGGCAATTGGGGTTAAGTGACTTGCCCAAGGTCACATAGCTAGTAATTTGAACTCTTGACTCCAAGGCTGGAGCTTTATCCACTGTGCCACCTAGCTGCCCCTGCACCTGTTCTGATTAACCAATTTTTCTACCTCTCCTACTACCATGCAGAATTTTGCTTATTACCATTCTCTTGTAATGGATAGAGCTCCCAAGATTTCCATTTCAGCTGGGTCTTCCTGGGATTGAGATGGATACTTAGTGACTCAGTTGATGTTCTTGATGTTCCCATTGGTGCCATCTCTTCCAAGAGGATTTCCTGTCTATGTACATGGGCTGGGACCTAGAAACAATAAAGCAGACTTGATTTATGAGGGGATCACTTAGAGCTGGAACTAAAACCTCAGAGAAAAAGAGTAAAAGAAACATTTCCTAAGGACCAAGGAAAATGGTAATTTTTTAGGAGTCACCTCTTTGGGCCTCAGTTTTCTGATATGTATAATTGTATAATTATATATATTATTATTTATATAATTATACAATTATACATATATAATCTGTATGATTTCTGATCTGTATAATTGGAACAATAATACTTACAATATCTATCACATAGGGCTGTTTTAAGGAAAATACTTTCTAAACTATACTATATAAATGTGAACTACTAAAGAATAATAAGAACCTTATTCAATACTGAAGAGCTCTAAGGAAGAAGACAGGAAGTGACAAAATAAAATTAGCTTTAGCTAACCCATCAACAGATTTGTGATGTCAATGGATATTCTCACTGCTATAATTACACAAATAATCATGAAAGAAAGCTTACTTCTGGCTCTAGTCTTAACTTCTATCACTTGACTCTCCTTTATAATATTTCTTTCAGGGTGATCATTCAACCCCTGCTTGGTCACATCCAGTTACACAGAAGACATGTTCTTACAAAGTTATCCCATTTCATCTCCAAACAAATGAAAAATGTAGGAAGTTTTTCCTAAGCCAAAATCTTCCTTTTTTATAACTTTAAAAAAGTTTTATTAATGTGTTTTTAAAATTTTTTTAAACACTTACAGATCACTTCATAAGAGATCTTTTGTCACAGAGTAAATCAATGAAGTAAAACTATAGAGAACTCATGTCAAAGTAAAGGCTACCTTTTACATCTGTAGCCTCCCCACAACTTTATTTTTTTCTAAATTAATAGAAATCTATTTTCTCTCCCTCCTACTTCCCCATTCCATTGAAGAAAAAACAAATTTCTTAAAAGAAATATGCATAATCATGCAACAAAAATTCCTCAATGTACATCTATATGTCTATTCAGATATATTTATATCTATCTCATTCTGTACCCTAAATGTGTCATATTAGCCATAATGGACAATATATTATTCATAGGTCCTCTGGAATCATGAATGGTCACCATCCCTACAGCTTTCAAATTGTTTCTATCATGGTGGTGGTATATAAATTGATCTCTTGGTTCTGTTCATTTCTTCTTCAGTTTATAGAAGTCCTCAAAATTGCTCATTTAATAATACTGATGTTATAGCATAAATTATTCTTCTGGTCCTGCTTGCTTTACTATGCATCAGTTCATGTAAGTCTTTCCATGCCTTTTTGAAGCATCTATTAGAGCATAATAGTATTTCACATCCACATGACACAACTTATTCAGCTATTCCTCATTGCTGGATATCCTTTTAGTTTCCAGAGGGTTTTGTTGTTGTTGTTGGGGTGGGGGGTCGAGGTTTGGCCACCACAAAAAGAGCTTCTATAAATATATTTGTAACAGACCTTTTCCTCTTTATTTAATCTATTTTGAGTATAAATCTAGTGGTATAGATTGGTCAAAGGGCAAGGCATTGTTTTGTAATTTTTTGTGTTTAATTTCAAATCGTTTTCAGAATGGTTATTATTCGCAAGTCTACTAACAGTACATCAATATGCCTTTTTTTCCTACAACTCCAATAGTTATCATTTTCCTTTTTTGTTATCTTTGCCATTCTGAAGGGTATGAGCTGGAATCTCAGAATTCCTTTAATTTGCATTTTTCTAATTAGTCATAACTTGGAGCATTTTTTCATATGGCTATAGTCTGAGTTTCTTCCCCTGAGAACTATCTGTTCATAGACCATTTATCAATCGGAAAATGGCTCTTTTTCTTATAAATTTGCATCAGTTACTTATATAACTTGGAAATGAGACTTTTATCAGAGAAATTTGCTGCAAGATTTTTCTCCCAGTTAAGTATTTCCTTTTTTAATCTTATCTTTATTAGATTTGCTTTTTTAGACTTTTGCCTGCTGGTCCTAGTTCAGCCCATTTGGGAACATGAAGAACTAGTCTAAACCTTCTTCCATATAATAGTCCTTTAAATATTTGGAGAGATCAACTTTCCCCTGTGTTTTCTTTTCTAGGTTACTATCCCAGTTCTTTCAAACACAATTCATATTTCTTTAGGCTGGACTCTGCTTTCCCCAAAAACAAATCATACCTTCCCCTTTCCCACTTGGTATTCTGGTTCATCAATTTCTCTTTCCAAATCCTCCAGGACAGTTACTGCTTCCTCTCCATTCTCTGGATGATGATCCTGCACCCAGGTCTGCAGATCCTTGGGTAGAATAGTTAAGAACTGCTCCAATACCAAGAGCTCCAAAATCTGTTCTTTAGTATGCATCTCTGGCCTCAGCCACTGATGGCAAAGTTCACGAAGTCGAGTTAAAGCTTCACGAGGGCCAGGAGTTTCCTGATAGCAGAGCTGCCTGAAGTGCTGCCGGAAAACCTCGCTTGTGCTGTGATTATGTTGCAAGCTTGATTCTTGCCCCCAGCAGTGTGCTTCCTCTTTCACTAAAAAAAGATCCTCTTGCTTTTCCAGAACCTCAGGCTTAAGGGGAGTAGCCATCTAAATCTGTACAGCAAATGATGGGTCACTATAGCTGGTGCTAATGTCTATAATTTAGGGTGATCCTTTTCCGTTCTTCTTTGAGGATATTCCTGAGATATAAGAAACAGTTTAACACAGAGAATGACAAAAGTTAGCACAAACTTAGAGACATGATAATTAAAAAATAGTAGAAGTTCACTAACTGAAAGTAATTTCAATTGAAAAAGATCACTGAATAACTAAACAAGTAGGCTACTTAAATAGTGGGGAACTTATCAGTCAGGGTCACAGCAAGTTAGCAAGGGAAAGCATCTGAGTGATCATCTAGCCCATCCCCTTATTTTACAGATAAGAAAACTGCCCAGCAAGGGGAAGTGACTTGTCCAATGCTTCACAGCAAGTTTGTGGTAGAGCCAGTACCTATGTCTCTTTATTTCAAATTCTGTATGCTTTTACAGTACTCTGCTAGGAAAATGAGCAGCTAGGTGGCAGGGCTGGCCGTGGTGAAGTCCGGAAGACCTAAGTTCAAATTCAGCCTCAGGCACTTTCTAGCTGTGTGAACCTGAACAAGTCACTTAACCCTGTTTGCCTCAGTTTCCTTATCTGTAAAATGAGCTGGAGAAGGCAATGGCAAACCACTTTAGTATCTCTGCCAAGAAAATTCCAAATGAAGTTACCAACAGCCCAAACGACAAAAAAATTATTGGGAAAATGATTAGAATATAATAAAATCTTACAAATCCAAAAATTTCACTCCAATAACGTAAACAGTTCCTTGATTACTGGATTCCTGAGATGGGAGGAGGGTAAACTTGTAATATGATTAAAGAACTTCATTAAGAAAACTTTCCCTTTATCAAGGCAGACCGATAATTATTCTGCAATTTGTGGTCTTAGAAGTTGCCTGATGTACTGATAGGTTAAGTGCTTTCCACGGGGTTACACAGCTGATACCACGGGAAGCACTTGAACGCAGGTCTTCTAGATTCCAAGGCAGACTATCCACTACATAACACTACTTTTCTATGGCTTAATCTCACTTCCTTTTTGCTGGCATGTTAACAGGCTTTAACGCCCACTCTGCAAAGAACTACTCTTGTCTTTCTTCTCGCCATCCCGGGGGAAGGCCTAAAAGAGAAATTACGCGGACAGGGAAAGAGAAAGCGGAGTCAGTAGGGATAAAGACATTAAGAGATGCCCTGAAGTAGAACAGCGACGCCGAGCTCCACAGAAACAAAACAAAAGGGGTAGGGGGTGGGGGAAGACAAGACCTGGATCTCTGAAGAGCTAAAATCCCTTCTACGCTACTGGTAAAGGGCGCAATCCCCTCGCAGAGGCAGGTGCCTGACAACGCCCCAGGTCTTCTGCGCCCAGGAGTCTTCAGAGACTCGGCTCCACAATGTCTGGAGGCGCCCTAACCTAAGGACCAGAGCTAGGCCTTGTCCGCAGTAGGCACCGCAAAAAGAAGGGAGGCGGGGCCACAGCCTCTGCGGAAGCCCCAGAAATAGACACCACCCCTATCGCGGGACCCCCCCCCCCCTTTCTCTGGATTCAGCCTTTTGGGCAGGCGAGCTGAGAAGAGATGGAAAGAAGCTACTCCACACACCTGCCCCAAGTCGCTACACGTATACCACTCACCGCAAGTATGTAGAGATAGGGATTTAAAGATTCGGTTCCAAAAAGTAGGCGACAAGAAAGTAAAGAAGGCCACAGGCCACCTTAGACACTGACAAAACAATGATTGCAAAGCGGTCCACCAATCCAAGCTAAACCTGGTGAAATCCCGTCATTTCCGGATCTCTGAAAGCAACACCTCGCTTTTCTCACCCCGCCCGCTGCCCTGATTGCAAGCGGGGTCCAATTCTGCGAGTCTGACTAGGGCTTTTTTTTTTCTCTAATTAAAGACATGTCTGATGTGGAGGAGCTTTTGCTCCTATTCCTGAATTCTCTCTTTCGCTATACATTTTCTTGCCTTGTATCACTTAACGGTGTGACTCATAGCCCAAGCAGTCGCTGTTAAGGGCTTGAAAGCCTATATATTAGAACATTCTGCAAATTCAATTCAATAGTATTTATAAAGCAACTACTATGTAAGAGGTATCGTGGTTACAAAGTAAAAAAATGAAACAATTCCTGCCTTAATGGTTTTAGTTTTACCAGGGAATAAAAAATATACATAGATAAATTAATACGGGGAGGGGTGGAGCAAAATGGTTTATCTTTCTACAATGGGTGATTGTTGAATAAAGTAAATATAATTTGAGTAGAGAATCAGTAAAGGCTTCCTCTAAGAACTGACATCTGAACTGAGTCTTAGAATTAAGGATTCAAGGAGGCAGAGAACATAGATCAGATGCAGGAGGCACCTCAGAGACCATCTAGTCCACTCCTTAATTTTACAAATGAGGAAACTGAGGCCCAGAAAGATTATGTCATTTGCCCAAGGTCCCAGAGGTAATAAGTGGCAGAGCCAGAATTTGAAACTCTGTCTTTCTGCAAACTATTGCCCAAGTGTGGGTGAGCAAAGGCATTGGGACAGAAGTTTGCCACACTGGGAAACTTCAGCTGGCAAATTTGGCTGAAAGACAATATCTATGAAGTAATATGAAATAGGTGCTTGATAAATAATCATTAAGCAGAATTGAACTATATTGCCTTTTTGGGTAATATGAAAAATCCACAGCTAGGAGAATTTTTTTCTACCAAGGGATTGAAAACTTTTGCATGAAGAAAATCAGTGTTGATAGGATAAGGGAAGCCTTCATTTAGGTGAGAACAGGGTGAATTTTTGATATACCAAAACACTATTGGTGGATTGTGGATTGGCCTAACTGTTCTGGGAAAAAATTTGAAATTATGCTAAATTTGACCCAGAGACTGTGCTGGGAGATATTTGACTCAAGCCAAATACTCACAGTAGCACTTTTTGTGGTACAAAAAACTATAAACAAAACAGATGTGGATCATCAGCTGGGGAATGACTAAACAAACCATTTAGCACATGAATGTAATGGAATATTACTGTACCATGAGAAATTATGAATATGAAGAGTTCTTAGAAGTATGGGAAAACTTCTATGAATGGATAGAGTGAGGGAGAATAAGAAAAACAACTGCAATAATACAAATGGAACAGAAAAACCCCAAGTAAATGCTGCCTAATTGGAATAACCAAACATAGTCCTGCAGAAAAGTTGAGGGAATGCACCTTCTTTCTAGGGATGGGGAACTATGGTTAGGGAATGTTTCATATGCTGTCAGACTTAACTATGTTCCTTGGTTTTGCTGAGCTATCTTTTTTTTTTCTTTTAAATTTTTTTAATTTATAAGGATGGCTTACTTGTGTAGGGAAGGGGGAAGAGATATCTTGAGAAATATAGGTGATGTAAAAACAAAATATACAATAATTTAAAGAGCTATTTAGTTATCCTGGAATCAATGTGAGTGAAATTCTATTAAAAAACACACTATCATCCTGTCTTCTCACTTCTTCAATCTTTCCTTTTTTCTTTCCATTCCCTACTCTCCCATTTTACTTTCTTTCTACATTCCCTCATCTTTTCTCTCTTCCTCCCTCACTCTCCTTTCTCTTCTTTCTCATTTCTGACTTGCTTTCCTCTTTTTTCCTTATCTTCTCTATACTCTAATTTTTGCCTCTCTTCGAGTGATCTCCTCCATCCTTCCCACAGCTGCTTTCCTCTTCCAAACACAAATCTAACTCTCAAATCTGGTGCCTCTTCCTACTCTGATACCCCACATCCGAACCCATCACTGCCACCTTCCTCCCTATAAGTGGCTCATGCCCAAATTTAGCCCAAGACATCAGCCCTTTCAGTACAATAGTCTGGGTATGTCTGCTAAGTCCCCTGTAACTTATTACAATATAATCTTCATTATTCTTCAGTGGGTTATCTATTTTATGAATATTAATTATCTGCAGAACTTTTAATGTTGGATGCCACTAGTTGGTATTAGTTGAGAAAACACAAACTCATATCTTATTGTCAACCTGTTATCAACCTAATATAATGAAGAAAATAAATCTATTGTCAAGGGAAAAAAATCATATGATTAAGTCAAAAGTCAGATAAATTGTTTTTGAATCACACACACACTGCTTTGTTAGTCATTAGTGCAATTAACTGAGAAGTGATCATACTTTAGAGAACTGAACAACGATACATACCTTTCATAGAGGTAGATACTATTTCTAAATTCACATCTTAGATCAAATTATTAGGGGTAAAATGTCAACTCTATAAGAAAAAAAGGAAGGCAAGGAAAAAGAAAGCAGTAGCAGCATCCCTACCACCTCTAAGCCATAACCATTCATTTACTTAGTATATGTTCTTAGGTGCCCTGGGCTACAGATAAACAAATCTTTCCAAAAAGATTTTGAGTATGATAGATTTGAATAAGTCATTCTGACACCCCAGTCTCTCAGCTGACATTCCTAATACTGAGGTATTAGATAATTTTTGTTGGCCTGCTCTAAGGCATCTGTCTACCCAGTCACCAACATGACTTTCTGATGCGTGATGAGGTACTAAGAGTAACTGTAGCTTTGTCGGTAGGATTTCTCTGCAGTTTCATGTGGAATAAATTATTAAAATTTTTATGTCAATGGATAATGTGGCTTCTCCCCAGTGTGAATTCTCTGATGTACAATGAGGTGTGAACTCCGCCTGAAGGCTTTCCCACACTCATCACATTCATAAGGTTTTTCCCCAGTGTGGATTCTCCTATGTCCTATAAGGTGTGAGCTGTAACTGAAGGCTTTCCCACAAATATCACATTCATAGGGTCTCTCCCCACTATGTATTCTCTGATGTCCAACAAGTGCAGAACTATGACTAAAAGATTTCCCACATTCATGACATTCATAAGGTTTTTCCCCACTGTGGATTCTCTGATGATGAAAGAGGCCAGAGCTCTGACTGAAACTTTTCCCACAGTCAATACACTGGTAAGGTTTCTCTCCAGTATGAATCCTCTGATGTTGAATAAGATGTGAGCTGAGACAGAAAGCTTTCCCACAATCATTACACTGGTAAGGTTTCTCTCCAGTATGCGTTCTTTGATGTCTAATAAGGCCTGAACTATAATGGAAGGCTTTCCCACAATCATTGCATTGGAAAGGTTTCTCTCCAGTATGGGTCCTTTGATGCTGAATAAGGTGTGAACTGTAATAGAAAGCTTTCCCACAATCATTACATTGATAGGGTTTTAGTTTGCTATGTATTCTCTGATGGTCAATAAGTTGTGAGCTCTGAATGAAGGTTTTTCCACATTCATTACATGAATAGGGTCTTTCTCCAGTATGAATTCGCTTATGTCTAATAAGGCTTGAGTTCTGAGTGAAGCTTTTCCCACATTCATCACATTTATGTCGTTTCTCAATTTCAGCATTTCCTTGATGCCCTTCTAATTTGCCCTCACAGACTTCTCCAAGCTCAAGACCCTGAGGAATATGCCCATTGAGCCTATCAGGCAACTCCCCTTTAGATTCCGTATCTGCTTTAATATCCTGGTTTTGAGCTGACTCTCCATTCTCCATTGTGGTCACACCATCTGAAAGAATAAATATACTATGCAAACATTACTGGGAAAAAAGAAGGTGTCTTTAGGAAGAACAAGATGATACAAATTAAACAAATGCACACCAGGAGTATGTAACTTGTATATACCTAGAAAATAATGTTACAAATATGGAGAGAGAAAGAATAGGGGCAGGTAAGGGTAGCAGGGGTTATGCAGATGAGAAGATAAAAAATGATCAGAAAGGGAGGGCAAAGCTCAGAGAATGGATGAAGAGAGCTAATCAGGTAGCATAAATGCGACCAAGAGAACATGCACAATGATGAATAGGAAAAGGAAAAAAAAACCAACTTAAGGATGGGTTCACCAATTCAGAATACAACATAAAGATAAAAGAACAAAAAGGCAAAGCAGGAGAAATGAAGAGGATCTATACAAGATATTTTTGAAGTTAAGACATAAGATTCCATTTTCAAACAGTACAATGTTATATTGTGTAGCATTCTACCAAATGCTTTCACATGTTATCTCATTTTATCTTCACAGGACTCAAACCTAGATCGCCCAACTACGTGTCAATAGCTTTTTCCACTATACTATATTTACATATCATACCTCACTTACACCTTTACATACCATACCTCTCAGGGACAATGCCTGGCACATAGTAGAAGCTTAATAAATGCTTAGTGATTGACTGACTTACCCCTTCTGAGGAAAGACCAGAGCCCAAGATAAAAAGGGAGCTGTCACTTAGGGTCAGGAAGAAGAAATAAGGATTTTTTTCCCTCTGGGACATTAATGATTTCCCTCTTCTATATGGGCCTAAGGAGGCAGAACTTAGAGTCTTGGGGGAGGAGCCAAGATGGTGGAGTGAAAGCAGTGACTTGCTTGAGTTCTCCCCCCAAGCCCCTCCAAATACTCATAAAAAATGGCTCTAAACAAATTCTGAAGCAGCAGAACCCACAAAAAGACAGAGTGAAACAAATTTCCAGCCCAAGACAACCTGGATGATTGATCAGAAAGGTGTATTGCGCCGGGCTGGGAGCGCAGCGTGGGAGCGCAGCATGGGCGCGCAGGCCGCAGCAAACCTGGAGCAGGCGTCAGAGGACTGAATCGCGGGCAGCTGTGGAGATTTCTAGACTTCTCAATCCATGAATGCCAAAGACAATTTAGAAGGTCAGTGGGAAAAGTCTGTTTCTATCAGTGGTCAGAGAGGAAGGCGGGGTTTCAGTTCCATTCCCCAAGAGCGTGACCCTGGGGGGCGGAGCAGCTGCTTCCTGAGCTTCCGGCCCACAGACTGAGGGGGAATCCAGTGGCTGATCAGAGAGGGACTGCAGGGATCTCTTTGCCAGTGCTGAGGCAGGAATGTCTTGCTTTGACCGTGTGTGGATCTGGGTCACAGTTCTGGGTGGTGGTGCTGAGGTGAGGAGGAGCACTGGTATGGTGGAGCTTGGAGTGGCTGTGGAGAGGAACCCCTCCTCACAGTTATGGGACAGAAAGGAATATTTGTGGTCACAGGCCAGGAAAGGAGTAAACAGCTTACCCCTTATCATACCACCTTGGAAGAACTGAAAATTTACAGGTCCCTACAAGTATCTCTGAAAACAGCTACACAAACCCCTGAAGCTTGGGACAGTACACTCTCCACATTGGAAGCAGACTCTTACCTTAACAAAGAGTTTAAAACTCAAGTAATTGGCTGGGATCATGAGCAAGCAGCGCAAAAAGAGTCAAACTATATTATCTTACTTTGGTGACAAAGAAGATCAAAATATACAACCAGAAGTCAACAAAATCAAGGCTCCTACATCCAAAGCCTCCAAGAAAAATATGAATCAGTCCCACGCCTTGGAAGAGCTCAAAAGGGATTTTGAGAAGCAAGTAAGGAAAGTAGAGGAAAAACTGGGAAGAGAAATGAGAGTGATGCAAGAAAATCATGAAAAACAAGTCAACAGCTTGCTAAAGGAGACCCAAAAAAATACTGAAGAAAATAACACCTTAAAAAAAGCCTAACCCAAATGGCAAAAGAGGTCCAAAAAGCCAATGAGGAGAAAAATGCCCTAAAAAAAAATTGGCCAAATGGAAAAGGAAGTCCAAAAGATTACTGAAGAAAATACTTCCTTAAAAATTAGAATAGAGCAATTGGAAGACAGTGACTTTATGAGAAATCAAGACACTGTAAAACAAATCCAAAAGAATGAAAAATTAGAAAACAATGTGAAATATCTCATTGGAAAAACAACTGACCTGGAAAATAGATCCAGGAGAGAGAATTTAAAAATTATTGGACTATCTGAAAGCCATGATCAAAAAAAGAGCCTAGACATCATCTTTCAAGAAATTATCAAGGAAAACTGCCCTGATAATTAGAACCAGAGGGCAAAATAGAAATTGAAAGAATCCACAGATCTCCTCCTGAAAGAGATCCCCAAAGGAAAACTCCTAGGAATATTGTAGCCAAATTCCAGAGTTCCCAGGTCAAGGAGAAAATATTACAAGCTGCCAGAAGGAAACAATTCAAGTACTGTGGAAACACAATCAGGATAACACAAGATTTAGCAGCTTCTACATTAAAGGACCGCAGGGCATGGAATATAATATTCCGAGGGCAAAGGAGATAGGATTACAACCAAGAATCACCTACCCAGCAAAACTGAGTATAATCCTTCAGGGGAAAAAATGGTCATTCAGTGAAATAGAGGACTTTCAAGCATTCCTGATGAAAAGACCAGAGCTAAACAGAAAATTTGACTTTCAAATACAGGACTCCAGTGGAACATGAAGAGGTAAACAGGAAAGAGAAATCATAAGAGACTTATTAAGATTGAACTGTTTACATTCCTGCATGGAAAGATGATATTTGTAACTCATGAGAACTTTGTCAGTATTAGGGTAGTTGAAGGAAAAAAATTGTATGTATGTATTATGTATAGATAGATAGAGGGCACAGGGTGAGTTGAAGATTAAGGGGTCATATCTGGAGAATAAAATTAAGGGATGAGAGAGGATGATACTCGGAGAAGAAAGGGAGAGGTAGAATGGGGTAAATTATCTCACAAAAAAAAAACAGAAAAGAAAAGTCTCTCACAGTGGAGGGGAAACAGGGGAAGGTGAGAGGGAATGAGGGAATCTTATTCTCATAGGATTTGGCTTAAGGAGGGAATAACATACACATTCAATTGGGTATGGAAATCTGTCTTACCCTACAGGAAAATAGGGGGAAGGGGACAAGAGAGCAGGGGGTGATAGAGAGGAGGGCAGATTGGGAAAGGGGGTAATCAGAAGTAAATACTTCTGAGGAGGGACAGGGTCAAAAGAAAGAATAGAATAGATGGGAGGGCAGGATAGGATTAAGGGAAATAGAGTTAGTTTTTCACAACATGTCTACTAAGGAAGTGTTTTGCATAACTGCACATGTACAACCTATATTGAGTTGCTTGCCTTTTCAATGAGGGTGGGTGGGGAGGGAGGAAGGGAGAAAATTTGGAACTCAAAGTTTTAAAAACACATGTTTTAAAAAAATGTTTTCACATGCAACTGGGAAATAAGAAATACAGGAATGGGGTACAGAAGTCTATCCTGCTGTACAGGAAAATAGAAGGGGAAGGGGATAAGAGAATGGAGTGGGGAGAGATAGAAGAGAAGGCAGACCAGGGGAAGGGATATTCAGAATGCGTGCCATCTTGGGGTGGGGGGAGGGGTGAGAAATTTGGAACTCAAAAACTTGTGGAAGTGAATATTGAAAACTACAAATAAATAAATTTTTATTAGAAAGTAAAAAAATTAAAATTAAAAACATTTTAAAAAAAAGAACTTAAGAGTCTCTGTATTCTAAGACTAAACTCAATGGACCTTCAGAAACCTGATAATTACTAACATAAAAGATGCAAATAAACCATAAACCCATAAAATCCCATAAGGACTAACCCCATTAGTCCTTACCCAGAGCAACCACGTTCCCATAATTGTCGTGCCTTTTGTCACTACAGAGGCTCTTCTGAACAGGGTCCAGCTGTCCCCATTTCTCCAATGCAAATGACATGGTCATATCCTCAAATGTCATTAGTTTCTGGGGAAAAATAAAACAAAACATGAGATCTCCATTTTCAGGTCAGGTTACCATTGGAATAGTAACACCACTGGGACCTAAATTGAGGAATAAAACTGGTAATAGGAAAATAGGATACACAGGGAGACTATCTCATAAGGGTTCTGAGAAGGTAAGGGGAGCTAAGAGCAAAGAATGAAGATAAATAGGTTATTGGAATACTTGGAATAAGTTAAGATAAGACTTGGACCGAGGCAGGGGAAATGGGTAGGCAAGCCCCGCCCAAAAGAAAGAGAAAACCACTGTCAGGCAACAGGCAAGAGGGCAAAGGTCACAGCTCACCTGGAATCCAGTTGTATTGCATGTGAGAAGTGAAGCTGCCATCTTTTGGTCACTAGGAACTCCCTTTTGTGGAAGTATAGGAATATGAGGAAGAAGCAGAGCTAAGAGAGAAGAAAGGAGTGAGTGAGACCAATCCTATTATGTGGTTTCCTACTGTTATGGAATCTAAGATTATCTTCAGAATTTGTTTTCTTCATCTGAAAACTTATTGCAGTAGTGATCATGTAAGATCTTCATAGATTCCTTTTGTATTTTTCAACTTCAATAACTGAGACAAAGGTATGCTAGAAAACAAATTAATTTTGGGACAACTACATTCAATGATAATACAAGATCCTGTAATATATAAAACACAGTTAACATCAACAAGAAAAGAAATTGTCATGATTAGCAGCTGAAACCCAAGAGCAGAAAGCATATTGTTGCCAGAAAGCTACACCATATAAAAATCCAATTCCTAAATATATAAGAACTTAAAAAAAACCTGATTTTGTAAATGACAAACCATGATGCAAGTGACCTAAAATTAGTGAGGAGAGTATAGCAGTTGCAAAAAAAAAAAGCATTTTGAAAGGAAATCCACAAAAATAATAGAATTAAATCTTTTTCTACTATCTTCTCTAAGAATAAGTTCTACACCACTACACTCAATATAAAACAATCCCTAATGCTGTTTATCCAGAGAAGTGAATTAGAAGTAGACCTACTAGGTCTTTTGTTCATCTATCCAAGAGGTGGGGAACCTATGGTTTCAAGGCCACATGTGACTTTCTAGGTCCTTGGGTGCAGCCTTCTAACTGAGTCCAAGTTTTACAGAACAAATCCTTTTATTAAGGGGATTTGTTCTGTGAAATTTGGATTCAGTCAAAGGGCTGTACTTGAGGTCCTAGAGGGCCATGTGTGGCCTCCAGGCTGCAGGTTCCCCACCCCGATCTAACCTGTTGCCACATGTTTTTTCTTATGAGAACATTTTAAAAGTATAATTTGTTAGATAAAATGAAGTTCTTGCCTAGTTTCACTAACACAGTTTAGTTTTGAAAAAGTTTGAAAATCAGATAACTTCTACATAATTATTACCCATCACAACACAGTTCTAAATAATACCACTGCACACTGTACACCATATAGCTGCCCTGAAAAATTTAATGAACTTGACTTTATATATGGCTTCTATCAATACCCACATCTTTAAGGTTTGCAAAGCACTTTAGAAACATCATATCATTTAGAAATATTAAATCATTATATCAGATATCATTATAACCCAGGGATATAGATTCTATTTATTGACATTTTATAGATGAGGCACCTGAGTCAGACAAAAGTTAAATGACTTGTATGTAGTCACACAGCTAGTAAGGGCTAGATAATTACTTTACCACCATCGATCGGTAACCTTTTCCTCCTTTTACTCCAACCAACTATTTATATCACTTGGGCCCCACTTTTATGTTAATTTTATTATGAACTTAAATATCAACAAACATAAACAGTGTTCAATAAACCCAAAAGCATTAAGTACTTAGGAAAGAATTCCCTATTTGATAAGAACTACTAAGAAAACTGGAAAGCAGTCTAGTAGAAATTAGATTTAGACAAATATTTTATACTATATTCCACAATAAATTAAAAATATATAAAAAGATCAGACCATAAAAAATTAAGAGAGAAGCAAATCTTTTACAACTGTGGGTAAAGAATAACTCCTAACCAAAAAAAGAGATAGACGCAATTATAAAAGGCAAAACAGACAATTTTGATTACATGAAATTGAAAAGACTTTACCTGAACAAAATTAATATAGTTACATAACTAGGATATAAGAAAGTAAGCAGCTGAATGGGAAGAAATTTTTACATGAAATATCTCTGATAAGGGTCTGATATCTAAGACATATGGATAAATAATATAAATATATAAGATCATTCTCCAATAGATCAAATAGTCAAAGAATATGAACAGGTTTTTAAACAAACTGCAATTATTAACAACCATTAAAAATGCTACAGATAATTAATAATAAAAGAAATGTGAATCAAAATAACCCAGCAATTTGGCGAAGACGACAAAAGATGGTAACATAGTCAACACGTACAATGTTGAAAGGATTGTGGAAAGAGAAGTACACTAATCCACTGTTGGTGGAGCTATGAACTAGTACAGCAATTCTGGAAAGCAATTTGGAATTATGCAAAAAAAAATGACTAAAAAGGTGATTTATCACTTCATCCAGAGATTGCCCTGCAAGGAGATTTGTGATAAAAAGAAATTCCTCATATGCACCAAATTATTTATAATAGCAGTTTTTGCGCTACCAAAGAACTAGAAATAAAGTAGATACTCACTGACTGAGGAATGGTTAAAAAAATTGGGGTACATATTTATGTACAAGAACTAACAAATACAAATCTAGAGTAGCATGGAAAAAATCGTGAATTAATGCATGTGAAGAAAGCACAGCCAGAAAACAGTATTCACAATGATTATAACAATGTAACTGAACAACAGTAAGGAAACTATCAGAATTGAATGCTGTGAAATTATAATGACCAAGCCTGGACTCAAAGAATAGATATGAAATAACAATTCCCTGGGCTCATTTGCAAGTAGAGGATCATGGATGTGGGTTAGTGCATATATACACATCAAATTATTTGATACAGTGTTTAGTTTTGTGGAACTTTTTTTCTTTCTTCCTTTCTTTATATTTGATTATAAGGAATGGATCTCTGGGAGGGGCTTAGGAAGCAATACAGTGGGAAATATCAATAAAAATTTATTTTAAAAACTATAGACCTAATCATCAACAAACATGAACATTTCAATATGCAAAAAATGAATTTTAAAAGAGAACTCTATATGAAACCACAAATTTCTTTTTTAAAATTTTTTATTTAGTATTTTTAATAATAATTAAATTAAATAAAAATAATTTTTATTTAATATTTTATTTTTCCTGTTTACCTTATACAATTTTAACATTCATTTTAAAAACTTTAAGTTCCAAATTCTCTCCCTTCCTCCTCCCTCCTACACAATGAGCAGGTAAGCAATTTGATATAGGTTATACGTGTGTAGTCATGCAAAACACTTTCATAACAGACAAGGAGAGAATGAAGAAAAGTCTTGAGAGTTTGAGGATGATAGTGGGGGCAATCTGCTGGAGAAGATGGGATGAAGTGGGATTACTTTATACTTAGAGGGCTTTGCTTTGGAAAGGAGAACGGCTACCTATTCTTGTGAGACAAGGTAGAAGACATAGTGGGGGAGGTATTTGAGTGATGTGAGATGAGGAGGAAGGGAGTAAAGGGAACTCTCAGTGAATGGTCTCATTTTCTTTTCAGTGAAATATGAGGCAAGGATTTTAGCTGAGGTGAGGGAAGAAGAAACCATGTAACAGAAGCAAACACACTTCTGTGGGCCCAAAATTACTGAATTATAGGACAGTACAATAACAGATGCTAATAATGATAACTTTGAATCATCAAGAAATGGTTAAATTCATTATATTCTGCCCAATTGCCTTACCAAAGAAAAAAAGAAAAAACATGGGTCTAATTCCTATGTTTAGGGGCAGCTGGGTGGCGCAATGGATATAGCACTGGGCCTGGAGTCAGGAGGATCTGAGTTCAAATGTAGCCTCAGACCAGACACTTGATACTTACTAGCTATGTGACCTTGGGCAAGTCACTTAACCCTGATTGCCTCACAAAATATAAAATAAAATACAATAAATAAATAAATTCATTATATTCTGTTTGGCATGGCAGAGTAGAAACAAAGAGAAACTAGGTCCATCACCACTCCTCCAAACTCTGCCTGCCCCAATAGTCTGACAACAAGCCAGCTGGTGGTGATGTTCTGCTGCCACTAATTCCCTAAGTGACATAGTGAAAAGATCACTGGACTCAGAGTGATTAGAGTTGGGTTCAAATACTGGTTATGACAACTCATAATTTGTGTCATCTTGACAAATCACTTAACCTCTCTAGCATCTCAGTTTCATCACCTGTAAGAAAAGGATGTTAACACTCATGCTGCCTACCTCACAGGATTTATAGGATCATAAATTTAGAGCTGAAAAAAAAACATTAGAGGCTATCAAGTCCAACAATTAATTGACTTTCCCACGGTCTCACAGCTAGTAGGTATCTGAAGTAGGATTTGAAGCCAGGACTTCCAGGTGGCTCAGTGTATGGAACCTGGAGTCAGGAAGTTCAAAACTGACTTCAAGACACTTATTAGCTGTGTGACCCTGGGCAAGTCATTTAATTTCTATCTGCCTCAGTTTCCTCAACTATAAAATGGGGATAATAATAGTACTACCTCATAGGTTTGTTATAAAGATCAAGTAAGATCAAATACTTGTAAAACAGCACACTTAATAAATACTGGTTCCCTTTCCCTGGCATCTATTACATCATGTTAATTCTCTGTTATGATAATGAAAATGCTTTATGTACTTTAAAAATGCTACACAGATATGAGTTATTAATAATACAGCATTTAAAGATTTGAAAAGTACTTTCCTCACAACAGCCCTGTGAATTAGGCACATTTTGTGGATAAAGAAACAGGCTCTGTCAATTTGTCTTGCTTGTGATCACAAAACTAGTAAGTGTCTGAGGCAGCATTCAAACTCAGATCTGAGTTCAAGTCCAAGAATCTTCCCACTATGCCACACTGTCTCAATATAACTGCAGTCAATTCTCCTTTATATCATCTCTCATATCCCTCCCTTCCAATATAGAATTGTAAAACTGCAAAGTTGGAGAAGACTATATTGGCTTATTCTAGTCCAATCTCTACCTAAGCATAAAATCTATCTCTAATATCTAAAACAAGCTTCATTAATCCACTAGCCTTTAAGGCGGCCATACTAGTTCAGACAAGCATCATTTCATGCCTGATAACTTCAACAGCCTCTTAACTGATCTCCTTGTCACCAGGCTCTATTACCCAAAATAACCCTACACACTGATGCTATTTTAGTTTTGCTTTGTACTATCTTCCACTACTAATAACCTTCAATGGTTCCCCAGTGACAGAAAGATAAGGTGTATAAACTTCTTAGCATTTGAGGGACCTATAATCTAGGTACCTCAAAATCTGACTTTCCTATATAACTTTGCTCATGTCCTTCATTCTGACCCTGTATGTTTTTCCCACTGCTCCCATCCATCCTTTAAGATCCAGCTTAAATTTTATCTCTTCTGTGAAAGTTTCTCTGACCACTCCATCCCTAAGTGATTTCTTTTACCTCTGAAATCTGGTAGCGTATTATTTCTACAGGGAATATCAAAATCCCCTGCACAATATCCAGTCCTTTGTCCCTTAATTCAGGCATATGTAACTGTATTAAAAGACTTTTTAAAGAAGGATAAAGATAGAAGCACAAACACATGAATGTCATAAACTAAAATAAACATACAGTTTTACTTTGGGACCACTAGTTTACACCATTCACATGCACTTATTTGCTGCTTTTTATTATTGTTTTACCTACCAACTAGACTGAAAATTGTCTAAAAGATGGGACTGTCTATGTTCCCCATAACCAAAGCACAATGATTTGTACATAGTAAGCACTCAATAAATGTTACTGATTGACTGAGTGATTCTATAGTGTCTCCAGAAAATACCAGGGCATTGAATTTTAACACTCACCACTCTTCTGTAGGGGCTGGGGATCCTGAGATTCACATTTGACCTGGGTTTCCATGGGCTGTAACTGTATATTAGGTGACACCTTTACTGAACCCATAGGCACCAATGCTCGTCTGTAGGAACTGGCTGGAACCTAAAGGCAATGAAGTATAATTAGGCATATGAGGAAATCACTATGATACATGCAGCCAAAATCTCCCCAAAGTGACCATATGTAAAGTTCCTCAATCTAACAAGGAACATATACTGTCCATTTCCTACCTGTTGTCTTGGTTCATCAAGCTCTTTCTCCAAATCTTCCAGTACAGTCACAGCCTCCTCCCCACTCTTTGGCTCATGTTCCCGAACCCAAGTTTGGAGATCCTCAGGTAAGATGGTTAAGAACTGCTCAAGTACCAGTAGATCTAAGATCTGTTCTTTTGTGTGCATTTCTGGTTTTAGCCACTCACAGCAGAGCACCCAGAGACGGCCCAAAGCTTCACGGGGACCAGGTGTTTCCTTGTAACAGAACTGCCTAAAGCGCTGACGAAAGAGTTCTTGGCTATAAATATTATTCCCTTGCAAGTTAGATTCTTGCTCCCAGACATGGCCTTCTTCATTCTTTACTGTGAGAAGTTTTTTCTGTTCCTCTGGAACTCCACGAGGCAGTGTAACAGCCATTCTGGGCTGGAACAGATCAGACTATGGTTCACTTCTGGCTGAGGTTTATGGTTCAGGACATATGACTGTTGTTTCTTCTCCCAAAGCCCTCCTAATATATGGGAAGAAGCACAGATAACAAAGAAGTAACCAGTTCTACTAAAAAACTCACACTGATAAAGTCACTAAGGCAATTCACTGTCTAGGAATAAAAATCCACAAAACTAACTGAAAGAAAATTGTTATCCTCAAAGGTCAAAAAAAATTCAGATAACTTATCCTTCGGTAGTATAGGGATACTGAGTTTCAGAAGGAAAATGATATTCATGAAGTATTAGCAATCTCTTCAGATTTGAGGGCAAAACAGAAAGGAAAAACAATGCCTGTGAATTAATGACCACTTTAGACCAGGGGTTCTTAACCTTTTTGGTATCAAGTACCATTATGGAAATCTGGGGAAGCCTATGGATCCCTTCTCAGAGTAAGGTTTTTAAATGAATAAAATAATTAGTATTACAAAAGAAAGTAATTCTATTAAAATAGTTATTAAAATATTGTTTTAAAAATTCACAGACCCGAAGTTAAGAACCAAAGGTTTAGATCAGTACACAACGTCCAGAAAGAGAAGATCTGAATGAATCCTTAATTGCCTTTTAGGTAGAGAGGCATTGTGATATAGTAGATCAATCACTTTTTTGGTCCTCCAAGTCATAAAGACCAGGATTCAAATTTTCCCTCTAACAAGTAGTTAAAGACTATGGTAATAACTGTAGAAATAGTAAATTCGAGAGAGATTAAAGAAATAAAAATGGAAGATTTTGGATGATGACAGATAAAGATGTGAGGCATGATCCTTCATAAACCTTAGGAATTAGGACAATTATGACATGAAGAGGGCATTGAGAAGGATTCGATGTTATAGAGAAAGGGTGTGAGAAGCCATAGAGTAAAATCAATTTCATTTATAACTCTTTTCTCTTCCCTCAGGTCTGCCAGCCACCCAGTTCTGTGCCTTGGTTCCAGACACCAGGACAAAGTAGGACCTAGGTAAACTGTGTACTAGAGGGGTCAGAAATCCAATTCCTGAGTTCGATCTTGGCTCTGTCACTCCTAATCTATGTGTCCTTGTTCAAATCACTTCACATTTCTGGAATTCAGCTTCCTTATCAACAAAAAGGTGTTTGGACCAGCTCTAAATCTAAGATTTTAAGATCTTTTTGCCTTCAAGCATCTACCCTTTCATTGTGCCTCATCTTCTCCCCTGATGTTGCTTCAGCAGCTCTCATTCAATGTACATAACTCTTGATTCTCAATCCATCCTGAGATGTCCATCCTGGGTTGTTATTTAATTTCTAGAATATCTCTTAGTACTGCATACAGCACACACCATCGACTTAGTGCCCTTTATCTGAAAGATTCCTACCATCAAACTCCATCACGTTTCCAGTTTTCTTCCACATTTCAAAGCCTGACGTAGGGAAGTGAGCTTTTTGATATTTCAGGAACTATTCAAGAACAAGGACACAGAGCTAATCCTATAGGTTGTCTAACCCTTGTTTGGTAGAAAAAGTTAAGATATTAACCTCTCCTTTCCTATTGTTTATATCTAACGCCAAAAGGAATAGGTAGTTTAAAAAAAAAAAAGATCAACCAGAACAATCCAGAGGTTCCAGAAATAGTTACAACCTTCCTCCTTACAGCCACTAGGGCAAGCCAGATCCCATGGAAACTCCACCCCCTCCCCACCCTTAAGCGAACCCTCCACCAGCATCTTCAGAGCCCAGAAATTGCTTTGAAGTTCCGCCACATCCAAAGGTACCAGACCGAAGGAGTCCCCAGACCCAGAAACTGGAAAGGGCTTTGTCCGCAGAAGGGACTGAAAGATACAACTCCTTCGCGCCCTATCCACAGAGTAGATCTCCAGGCTGTCTACAGGTTACAGCGAGCGTTTGGGGACGTGGATCAGGACAGCAGTTCCACCCCGGATCCACCTGGTTTGGAGGGGACCCCGCGGTCCCTCTGACACACAATCCCTACCCACTCACCGCTAAGCCCGAGGGACAGCTAAACAAAAGTAGCAAACTCGAAAGACCGGAAGATTCTGAGCGCTGCGCCCACCCCCAGCACAACGGAACAGTAAACCATCATCATCCCCATCCCCATCCCCACCCCTCCAGCCCTGGCCACTTCCTGTTACCTCTAGGAATCCAGGAAGTTTTAGCTTCTCTGTGGTTGGTTTATACTATTCTACATTCTCATCTACTTCCTAATTGTCTCGGTGGGATTGAACTGGAAGGAGAGGGAAGAAGCAGAAGAGTCCACAGGAGACAGACACATAGCTCTATTGAGCATCATTCGGTTTTCTGAATCCCACTGACTTCAACCTAATAGAACCAAACAATGATCCTCAAATAACAGTATCTTAGATATAGTTCTGCATGGCCACAGAAGTCAGAAATCGGAGCAAATTTAGACTCAACATAAAGAAAAGCTTCTTAACAAAGTTCTCTAAAATCGCGAAGGGAGGGGGGTTATATTTCACTGAAGCCAAAGGTGGATGATGTTTGCTGAAACCCACAGGAAATTCATAAATTGGCTAGGGGTTAGCGCCTCAGAAATTCCTTTTCACAACTTTCCCTACCACAAACGCTTTTCATTTTCTTCCTCTCAAACACCTCTTCCTACAAACTTCAACCAAGAACACATCTACTACACTTCTACAAGTTTACTCTAGTAATTCAACGCATCTGTGAAGTCAAGGATGTGGGTACTCCCTCTCAATGAGTGTAGGTGCTGATAGCAAATCACCCAAGCTTTCTCATACTGTGTAACAAGAACTTTTTTCATATTCTTGGATCACATATATTGGAAATTACTTTTCCTCATTTTAAAAAATTTTATATAGATTTTAGGTATCAATCTCTTACAGAGCTATTTCATGATAAGATTTTTTCGAGTTTGTAACTTCCCGTTTTAGATGCATTTGTTTTATTTGTTGGTAATCTCAGGAAAGCTTCTGATTTGCTAGGCTAGGGCACTCCCCATGGAACATGCCTGCAGGCCTAAGCCCTGGTTCCTTTTGCTCTCTTCCTAAAGGGCATTAGCAACCAGAGGTTCTTAGTTCTTATGGTCTCCCTTAGGAGGTTGGGTCAAAGATGATTAGAGACTGAGCAGAAAGAGCTATATACTCAGTAGGATAAAAAAAAAATACAGTGAACATTTTTTTCTAATCCCACAGTTAAATTTTTTCCTGTATCATCTAAAAGGACAAATGAAACACATTTTTATATATAGTATTTTTATTGTATATAGTAATTATCATATAGGATGGAACTTTGTGTTCATACCTTTTATTTATGACAGTTGAATGTAATTTTCTATGAAATTTGACTCCATCCCCACACCTTCAAGAACAAAGTTTATTAGAAACTAGATGAGTGAATCCAAGGGGGTGTGGATAAATAACTGTAACCAAGTTCTAACCAAGTCAACATATTTGTCGCCACCAGTTCCCCTAGACATACAAAAATTTGACACCTCCATCGATTATATTCATTTTATATTAGAGGTAATTACAGTTAACCCACCAGATACATTAATAGTAATTATTGTTATAGCTAGCATTCATATAGCATTTTAAGTTTTGCCAAGTACCTTTCAAATATTATCTCATTTTATCTTCACAACAATCCTGGGAAGTAAGTGCTATTAATATGAACAACTAACTTTTAAATCCCCATTTTACAGATGAGGAAACAGGCAGACAGGTTAAGTGACTTGATCGGAGTAATTAAGAACTATTAAGAGTCTGAGGCTGAATTTGAACTCTCTGCCTGACTCAAGGTTGTAGCACCACCTAGCTTCAGTAATTGCTGAATTTGCCACATATACATAAATCAAAGTTGTAAGAATCTGACAGACACAAAACCAAAAACTAACATAGGGAGTCCTTGTGTAGCCCCTAGATGTCACTGAAGGACCAATTCTCTTTGTCCTCTTCAACCCCACAACAGCCTCAGATATCACTCTGTCTCTACTTTCCTGGCCAGCCCAGGAGGGATTTTAAATTTTAGTCCCCTCTTTTCACTTCCCCTGCCTTTCCTCAGTCTCTGAGGAAAGATTTCTCTCTCTCTCTCTCTCTCTCTCTCTCTCTCTCTCTCTCTCTCTCTCTCTCTCTCTCTCTGTGTGTGTGTGTGTGTGAGATTGAGAGAGAGAGAGAGAGAGAATATTTGTCTCTCATAAAACAAAGAAAAAGACAGGTCTTAGGTGTGGACAGAAAGTCCCAGATTCTGTCTCATTTCTGCCCTTCAAAGTTTACTTAAGAAATAGAGAAAATGAATGGCTCTTGACCATCAAGTCAAGAGTGGGTAGGAACCCACTGTGAAATATAAAACCCTTTGCAGAAGAGCCCCTCCCCTTAGCACACTCAGAAGGCATTTAATCATACTCAATAAACAATGAAGAAAAAACTCTATCTAAATGAATCAAGCTTAACAAACAACCCCTCCATTGCACATTAAAATTCCACGTGAAGGGGTAGAAAGCTCCAGGGAAAATATCTCTATTTCAGCAGACAGAAAAGAGGGAAGAGCGAAAATGCCTTCACCTTCTTGCTTTGGCAAACAAAGGGAACAAAGTCCACTGCTCTCATTTTTTGCTCCACTTGCCACTTTTTGGTTTCTGGTACCACGTCTGCCTTGAATAGACATCTAGTCCTACACAAAGTCTCTCCTCTTTCTCTCCTACATCCCAATATCACGATCTCCTGGTAAACTGAGTACAACAGAGATTCAGTGAATCCATTTTGTTTTTACATTTCAGTTTTTTAACCCCAAATTAAATGAGCACCAAAGAGAATTTCCACATTCAAAATGGAAGAGAAAAAGAAGACCGTATGTGAAAATGAAATCTCTATTACATTTAGCTTGCTTTTACAAAGTATATCATGAATTCAACATGTTAATTTCAAAGCTATCCTACTTGTTTTCTTCTGAACTTCCTTCTGCATAGTTTAAAAATTGCTTCAATTAAACTTTTTTTCTTTTCCAATTTTTTTTCCACTGAAGGAACCGTTCTAATCCCCAAATTCCCCACCTCAAATAAAAAAAGAAAAACAATCCTTGCAACAAATAAGCATAGTCAAGCAAAAAGAACAGTAACACATTTCCAACGTCCGAAAATTTCTGTCTAATTTTGTACCTTGAGCCCATCATTTCTCTGTCAGGAAGTATGTAGCATTGGTCCTTTGGAGTTGTGGTTGGTCATTGTACTGGTCATTGATGAGAGTACTGAAATCTTTCAAAGTTGCTTTTTCTTTATAACATTATTCTGTAAATTGTTTTCTTAGGTTTAGCTCACTTCACTCTGCATCAGTTCAAGCAAAACTTCCCAATTTTCTCTTAAACTGTTCCCTTCATCCTATCTTATTGCACAATAAGATTCCATGACATTCATATACCATCATTTGTTCAGCCATTCTCCAATGAATGAGCACCATTTTTGTTTCCAGTTCTTTACCACTACAAAAAGAGCTGCTATAAATATTTTTGAATACATAGGCCCTTTTCCTCTTTGATATTTTTGAAGGTATAAGGTATGCTGAAGTCATCTCAGACTGGTTCCCACAAAAATAGATGGTTATATTTTCAGTATTTACACCTTGGAAATCAGCAAACTCTACTAATCAAAGCTTGATTTAGTTGATTGTCTAGAGTTAAAGTGATAGAGAAAATGTTAATAATGCAGATTAAACTTAAAATTAAACATTTTTCTTTCTGGAGAGCTGGTTGTTAAACATTTATCAGCACACTAGTGGATACAGGCCTACTAGTTAGTTATATTTGAAAATGAAAGTAAACTTAGAGACAATGGTCCAAGCATGATCAATTTATTAGTTTGACTAATAGAAACCAACAAATTAGCTCAATGGCCTTTTTCAATGACCAAAGACCCTGAGGTAGGGTCTTACTTCATATGGTTTGGGGAAGTGCAGTAGGTGGGGAAAGCAATGCAATTAGTTACAGGGTAGACAGCATCATGGGGCTAGGGCAGCATGATTGGTTACATCAAAGAAAGTAGGTTAGCCCCCATGTAGGACTAGTAAACACCCCTCTCTGACAATTAAGAAATGCTAATCACTTTATGGGGCTCCATCTGCACATTGTAATCTTTTCTAGGGAATCAAAACTACCAGACTTGCTGTCTCCTAAGAGAAAAGATTGAAAGAAGAGATTGAAAACTCTCAGAATTTCATAAGGACAAGCAAAGAGAGATAATCTGTTTCATGGAAATATACCAGGTTAGTTTGTAAGCCTTCAAAGACAGCAAACAGATATCCTGGGATTTTTCTAGGAGCTGAAGGCAGGAGGGATAACAAGTTTTCTTTTGATTATAACTTTAACTCAAAGGGAAATTCCTGAGCTCAACTCAAGGACAAAGAAATGTTAACTTTAGGCAGATGCAGACTCAATTATAAAAAATCAGTACAACATAAAATCAATTACATTGTAGAATCAATACAGTAAGAATCAACACCACAGAAACTCGAGGAAATACCAATTTTGATATGTTCAAGTGTTATCTCTGGGTCATAACTTAGTGACTTTTTGGGCTAAGTCCAAATTGCTATCTTTCTATAGCCCCTTTAATCATTTTTTGTCATCTTTGACAATTTGAAGGATGTGAGGTTGAAATAGTTACTTTTTTTGCCTATGAGTAATTTTGAACATTTTTTTTCATATAGTTATTGATAGATTCCTTTGAGAATTGCCTGTAATCTGGGTCCTAAAGTTTAGCATGGTATTCTCCTTATTGGTGGAGATCAATGCCTCACACTTGGATGAAGGGTGGGGCAGAGTTGGAGAGACAAGGGGAGATGAGAGCTCTTCAGTCCCTTCAAGTTTTGGGACCTGCTTCAAGTTTCTTCAGGTCTCTTCAGACTCTACAGTCACTTCAGGTGCTTCTGGTTTTTAGCTTGAGAGAGAATATATCCGATGCCAAGCCCGCTTCATGCTGCTGAAGGAAACAACTCTGGGAAGAAGACAATATGAGAGGAGTTGCCATGTCTCCCTGCCCAGTGTGCTAAACTGGAGACTTCAGGAAACTTTCCCTTGAGTGAAACCTCTTTTGGCTGAGCTGAGTTATCCTG